GGAGGGAGGAGGGGTGGCTGGCAATGGGGTCAGGGAAGGAGGGGTTGGTGGTTGTGTCTATTGCTTGAGGTTGTTGTGAGTTTTTTTTGTTTTAATTTTTTTTTTTTAATTTAGAGGTCAACATAGGTAATGTTACCGGTAAACTCAGTCCATTATGGGCGAAAAATGGCAAACTTTTGTCCAATATGGGCAGATTTATAGGTTAGTCCATTTTGGGAGAACCGGCCAAAGGTTAGTCTATTTACGTTAAAAATTCCTTCTTATTTTTTATTGTTAAATTTAGGTATTATTGCTAATTTACATTTTATTATCGTTTTATAATTATATATTTATTTTTACAGCAATATGTTTAAGGTTAAGATGAAGTTCCTTTATTATTTAGTTATATCCTTTTATTTAACTTATTATATTTATTAGTGTTGAAATCAATGTTGATATTATATGAAAAACGCATATACATTTGCTAAATATATATGTACTTTGTTTTTCTCTTTATGTACTTTGCTGAAATCAAGTTGCTAAAATCAATGTTAATATTACGCATGTATATTTGCTAAATATATATATGTACTTTGTTGTACTCTTTATGTAATTTGCTCAAATCAATGTGCTGTAATCAATGTGTATATATTGAAGAACATTATTAACATATCAAAGAACGTATTGATATGTTAAAGAACATACGTTCTTTCTCATGAAAAAGAAAAAAAAAATGTGGGTAATTAAAAATATTCTTTGGGTTTCAATTATACCAAGAATATTCTTTTTACTTCATAGTATGTTTTTATACTTTCATGTTCATGGTTTTTTTTTTTTTTTTTTTTTTTTTTATTTTTTTTAGAAAAAGAGAGTATTATACGTAGACATGTTTTTCTAGTTTAACCCTTATATTATTATTATTATTATTATTATTATTATAATAATAATAATTATTATTATTATTATTATTATTATTATTATTATCTACATTTTTCTAAATTATATCATCTAATAATTATGTTTTTTTTTCTTTTTTGTAATCAGGATTACCAAGGTTGATGAGAAGTTTTTGGGACAATGATGGACTTTCAAATCTAAAGCATTCATCCATAATATTGATAAAGGACATTCATGTTATTAATAAAGAACATGATACTATCATGTAATGAACAATACGTTAAGTAACCACTATGATCAAAAGACAAATTTTAAATAATAATTCACAACAAGCGATGAAGGGATAGTAAAAGTACATTACGATTACAATTGATGAACATGCATATTTAGAATAGTTTACCAAAAGATCGAATTAAGAACATACAATATATGATATAATAACGAACTTGCAAAATTAATACTCTATATTATTATTAACTAATTATACATTACAAAATAATATAAAGTACATCGTGTTTTCCGATAAAGAACATTATAAAATCATCTAATGAACATTACAAGAGATACCCATGATCATAATTTAGACGGCCATTACAAGATCTAATAAACTAATTAAATATAAAGAAAGGATTTTTAAGTGAAAAATATGAATGCTTTTTTTTTTTTTTTTTTTTTTTTGAAAATATAGGGATATAATTTTTTTAGTGAAAAAAAAAAACTTTTCCAGTACAAATTTGAACGTTTTGTTTTGGAAAAGATTGTATTTTGGAATAAAATAATATGAAGAGAGAGAAAAAATGAATTTGGAAAAGTCAAATATTTTGAAAAGATATGACAGCTAATATGTGGGTAATTAAAGATCAATTAATAATTATCTTTTCCTAAATTAAAGGAAACTGAATATTCATATTTAATGTAGTATACTTTGTATCTATACCTGATGTTCTTTCCGCCTTTCTCTACTCTAATAAGCACGCGTTTTATTCATTTGGGTCTGTCGTTTTGATCCAGGTATACCATGCGCATGGTACACCTGGATGTAGGAACCACGCATTGTGCACCACCTAGTAACTATGTTGTGAGTGGTCGCTATTACAATATAAGTTATTATCTCATTGATGGGATATATTCTAAAGGGACGACATTCATTCCTATAATATCACTACCACACAAAGAAAAAGGTATTTTTGCCAAACTGCACGAAGCTAGGCGAAAGGATGTTGAGCGTGTTTCTGGAGTGCTACAAGCTCATTTTGCAATAATATGGAATCTTGCGATAGCTTGTATCATTATACACAATATGATCATCGAGGATGAAAGAGATACATATAATATATAGTACAATCCAAATGAATATGATCAAGCTACATCTGCATCTTCAAGTAGTGGAAATAATGAAGAGTTTGTTCAGTACTAAATCAGCAACAATAGAATTGCAAGTTTTAAAAATTACATATCTATTGAGCCCTATGGATAGACTTAGAGGATCATTTGTGGCTCAAATTCGGTGTATATAGTAGGCAAAATAATATGAATTAATAGATGTGTTATCTTAACATTTAAATTATTACTCTCTAGTTACTCATGCTTGTTATTTTTCGAAAACTCCTGTTATTCATTAGAATATGTATTTATTTTATCATTAAGAAATTTATTAAAGTAAAAAACAAAGTAACTCCTAATATACTAATAAAGTAACTCTTAAATAACTAACTAAGTAACCTCTGAATATAATTGACTAATGCCTTGTTTAGTTAACCTTATTTTTACTTATTTTAGAAAAAATAAATTCTGGCACACTTTATCGTTTTATGTGCGGTCTTTTATCGCTAAATATCTTTAATTTCGTAATAAAAAAAATTATGAAAATTACATGTTATTACGAATCTAACAAACGTTACAAGCCCCACTTGATATATGTACACATAAGGTTAAAGTTTTGTCAAATCGGACAATCTAATCCGTCCAGATCAGATTAGACCATATCAGATCTATTAGACCAGATCAAATCGGATAAGCAAAAATAAAGTGAACTAAACAAGCCTTAAGTAATCCCTTTATAACTAAACAACCTTTGAATATACTAACAAAGTAACCCCATAATTATTGTTATTTCTTAATTACGACTAATTATTTATTAATCAAATCCCATATTGCATTAATGTTTGATTATAAGTCATTATATCTAATGTTAATGTATAATTGTTAGTTTTGACCGATTTTTAACACTTGCATTATCTTTCTATTATACGTTTTAAGAGAGAGATTGTGTGTTACCAGTGTTGGGGTAGGGTGAAAGACGCTAAGTAGGAGAGAAAAAATAAATAACCAAAAATTTATGGTCAATCATTGAGATACATTAGTTTTAAAATAGTATACTTATAAGAGTGGTTTTAAATGATGTGAAAGATAGATAAATAATAAAATAAGTGATAACCACAAAGGTTATGATAATCAGTTGAACTCTTATGACTATGTTTATCATCCATATCTATATTTATAATCTATAATCTATAATATTGTTAAAAAACACAAAGGGATAACATGTTACCACCATGTGTCACTGTTCCCTCAATATGATTTGGCGCCACTTGATCGCTATGTGCCACCTATACGTGTCACCCTATGTATCGTCACTCTAAAACTCTTCATATATGTAACCTTTGTATTTAATTTTTCCACTAGAATTTAACTTTTAAGTAATTGCACAATAAATTACAATTTAATTTGTAAGAAATTAATCACATACTAATGGTATTTAATTCCTTAAATGCTAATTTTCTAGATTCAACACCAATTAAGTAATTTTACAGAGTACGGTAATAATTACAAGTATACTACTACATCTCTCTTTCTATTCCCATTTTTTTTTTCCATTTTTTTAAATTTATTTTAAACTAAGGTAATGTTTTCAAAGTAGAAGTAGTTGTCAAAAAAAAAAAAAAAAAAAAAAAAAAAAAAAGAGAGAGTAGAAGTAATGTGTAAACAAAATCCGAAACATCACCCGAATTACAAATTAGTTTTCTTTAAAAACCGAAAAAATACATTCTGAATCCTCTTGTGGTGAAGCAAGTACCCTACTCGTATGAAAAATATGTACTACATAGTAAATATGATTCTGCCAAAGCAAGTGAAAGGGCACAAATTGCTTGGCAGAATAGCCTGCCAAAAAAATTAAATGCGAATAGCAGATGCAAATTGGTTTAAATGCAAGTTCAGATTAGCAGGCCTTTCAAAAAAATCAAAAAAAAAAAAAAAAAAAAAAAAAAAGTTCAGATTAGCAGAAAATGAGGTCCATTCACATTTCATGCACTTCACTTACTTAAACTCTTTCGACTTTAATAGATCTCTCTCTTTATCAATTTCACTTTTGAGGTTTTTTGGGTCACCGTCATAAACCTTGGCCAAATATGGGGACTTTTATGTAAGGCCATGTTCTTTGAGTTTCTGGGCAGAGCAGGGCAAAACAGATTTTATAATAATAATAATAATAATAATAATAATAATAATAATAATTATTATTATTATTATTATTTGATTTTTTTAAAGATTTTTTTACTCTTTTTATAACATTAAAAAATGTGTTAAATAATATAAAATATTGATTATTATCATTAAATATTAGTTATTATTATCAATTAATATTATATATTAATTATTATTATTATTATAATATATTAAATATCATTATTATTTAATACGAAGTATAAATTATTATTATCTATAAATATTAGTTATTATTATTAAATATTATTAATTATTATCTATAATCAGTAATTATTATTATTAAATATTAATTATTATTTTTAAGCAGAGCAGAGCAGAGCAGATTTCAGTAGAGCATATCAGATTTCAGCAGAGCAAAGCAGGGTAGAGCAGCTCAAAAGAACAAGGCCTAAAACGAAGTTGAGCATGTGAATATCAAAAGAATTAAATGTTTCAAGCACATTACTTAACAAATGTTGAAATAGGATCTGCTAACGAACGCCCCGCGTGTTAGATAATTAATCAATATTTAGATTGCATGATAAAATCACGCGTCCATCAGTGTAATTAATGTTGATAAATTAATGTTAATTTTACTTTAATATTTTAATTTTAGCTCTTTTATCTAACACTCTGGAGGTGCTCATTGGAGTTGTTGTCATGTTTCTGGTGGGCTGGTGGCTGGTGCTGTACTGTCACGTCTTAGGAGCTTAGAGGGGGTGACACGTGATACATATACTTAAATAGAAACGTATTTTAATATTTTGGAAGTATAAAATAGGATGCATTTATACATAAACCTAGGGTCACTTGACAAAATGACAAATGAAAAAAAAAAAAAAAACCAATTAGAATCTGTAACATTATGATGTTGACATGTAGAATTCCCTTACACTTTTTTTTCTAAGTTGGATCATTTCGCCAAGTCCTCCAAGCTAGGGATGCAATTCAATCCAAGTTCGATTCGAATAAAGAAAAAAAATCCGATTAGAATGCGTTTAAAAATAGTCTGAATTCGAATCTGACAAAATAGATTTGAATTTGAATAAGAGGCGGATCGAACTTGGACCCTGCACAAAGTCCGACATAGTCCGATTTGAGTCCGAGTCTGATCAGAGTCCTAGGTTGTAGTTTAAGTACATTATATTTAGATTTTATATTCTAGGGTTTTTCGAATATTTTACGCACTAATATGATGTAAAAAAAATTTAATTACAGACAACGCAAGTATTTATAAGTATATCACATATTATTCTCAAAAAAAAAAAAAAAAAAAAAAAAAAGAATACTCGGATCAATCTGGATGTCTGAATAAACGGATCGGATTTGGACCCGAGTCCACGATCCGAATATCCAGAATTTGGATTTAGCCACATCCGACCCAAATCCAATCCATTGTCATTCCTACTCTAAGCATGCAATTTAAGGAAGATTTTAGACTAGGTACACATTCAAAATTTATACTTCGTATTAACTTACCACCGATAAGAGGAAAGGATTAGGTTATAACGATTTAGAATATTTAAATTAATTTGTTCATTTTCTCTAATCACTTCGTTAAATACAAGGAAAAATTGAAACTAATAATCTCACCTTTGGCTCATCTTCTAAAAAAAAATCCCACCTTTGCGTATTATGAAAACAATCCCACCTTTACACCCCATATTCTCAAAATGAGCTTTTCTACCTATAACCGATTCAGCAGGTAAATTTTTTGTTTTTTTCTTTTATTTTTTCCTTTAATCTATCTCTTCCCACCTTATCACCTTCTTTCATGGCAACCCCTCCATCACCACCATGGGTACCACCCTTCACCCCCACCTCTGAACTAAACCAGCCCTAACCACCACATCACCATCGAACTGACCCCCATCCCGAAACTCAAAGGGGCTTCCATGTTCCACCTCCAACCATTACAAACCCAATCAGCCACATCGCCAATAACAATCCCTCCTCACCTCTATACAAATTCCAGCAATCACATCACCATCTCCAACCCCTAATTCTCACACCCTTACACAGCAGCCCCAACCTTCGCCTACTCCCCTGCTCCCCACCGCAACAACCACCTGACATCGTAACCAATTTCGACATCTGCGAACCACACACCTGCTCCGCAACACCTAACCACAATGGTTTTGGGCTGATTTGTGGGTTGTATTGCGAATTTTGGGCACTATTTTTGTTTGAATTGGTGGCTGTCGGGATTATTGTTAGGCTGAATGAATGGTGGAGCGGCGCTGCTGGTGAGGTGCGTTGTCCCGGTTTTGGTGGTTGGTGGCGTGTGGAGTTGGGTATTATACGGCCTGTGAGAAATGGTGAATGGCTTTACAATGGTTTTGGTGGTTTCGGTGACGCCGACGTCCGACAGGAAAGGGAATAAACGAAGGGGGAAGAGGAAGGGGAATTCCGATAGGTGGCTGGGTTAGGTTGGTGTGGCGGGTTGCTGGTCCGACGAGAGAGGGAGGGACCAGCAAGGGAGGGAGTCGGGGAAGGGGAGGGAATCGATGGCTGGGTCTAGCTGTTCCGGCGAGTGGTTGGGTCTGGCTGTTCCGGCGAGTGGCTGGGTTCGACAGGTCATCCGGCGGCTACTCCGATGAGACATTTGCTCCGACAGGGGAAGGAAGAAGAAGGGTTATTATTATTATTTTTGTTTATTCCTTTATTTTAAAAAAAAATTATAAATAAAACCCAATTAGAAGGTGACACGTGTCATATTACCTTCTAAAACAGGTTACCAATTGTACAAATTGATAAAAGGCTTGTTTTGAGAATATAGGGTATAAAGATGGGATTGTTTTCAGAATACGCAAATGTGAGATTGTTTTGAGAAGATGAGCCAAAGGTGGGATTATTTCCAGAATACTCAAAGGTGGGATTGTTTTGAAAAGATGAGCCAAATGTGGAATTATTAATTTCAATTTTTCCAAAAAAATGATAAGTAGGTGTGTTGCAACTTATATACACTTTTTTAAAAAAAACTACTATGTTTAATTTATTTTCATTCCATTACCCAAATGTGAAGGTATCAAGCTGAAATTACTGATAGTTGAATTAGTAGAGAATATTAAGTGACAATTGTATTCTACTACGTAGAAAAAATAACTTATTTCTCTAGAAAAAAAAAAAGAGGAAAAAAAAAAAAAACAGGAAAATGCTATACATAGCCCTAAGGGCTATGAATAAGAAGTTAAAAGAGGAAAGCATTAGTGAAATATATTCATTAATTACACTGATTTGCATTAGTATTGCAAACTTAGGTGTCTACCCAAAAAAAAAAGGTGGACTTTTCTTCTGCATTAGTATTGCAAACTTAAGTGTTACCCGAAGCTGTTTCATCAAACACAAACCTTAAATAGTTACTTTGACAGCTAAGCTTTAACAACTATTAGTCGACAACTAACAACTTAAAGCCTAATAGTTAACAATTATAACTAGTTTTGTCGAACATGGCTTGAGTTTTGGTCACCATAGAAGAGCAGGACCATGAACCCCAAAACAGGAAGTAAATACGGAGTTGTCCAGTAAACAATGAGCAGCTTTACTGCAACATATTTACTCCAATTTGACAGATTTACAGCCCAGACTCCTTTATTACAACCTCAACTGTCCTCGCCCCATTACCCTCAATATTTCAACCCTATACTTAGCCTCCTTTTCTCTCTTCCATTTTCATTGTCAAAGTAAACAATGAAAATGGGGTTAACAAAAAATGTACTGGTTTTTACTTTTTTACTCGCTGTTTCGGTGTTTCGGCGAAGTTATGGTGAGCCTCTGGTACCCATACTTTGCATATTTGGGGACTCTGTTGTTGATTCAGGCAACAACAATGGCCTCTACACTCTAATCAGAGCTAACTTCCCTCCTTATGGAAGAGACTTTGTCACCCACCAGGCTACTGGAAGGTTTTGCAATGGAAAACTTGCTACTGATTTCACTGGTGAGTTGGCTTACTTATTGATCTTTCTTTGTTCTCGTGTGTGTGTGTGCGCGCGTGTGCGCATGTTAAGTGTAAAATGGCTAATGGGTTTTATGTTCTGTGGTTTTCGCAGCTGAGAATCTGGGGTTTACTGCGTATCCACCGTCTTACCTCAGCCAAGCAGCACGAGGAAAGAACCTACTGATAGGTGCTAACTTTGCATCTGCTGGTTCTGGTTATGCTGAAAGAACAGCCAGCTTATATGTAAGTTTCATCATCTCACCGCAATAACAGGGTGAAAAAAATATTTGCATGCACCCATGCAAAAAACTTGTCTCCGTCTCTAAATGTTGTTCTTTACTTTGACTGTAATTATTTCCAAAAAAAAAAAAAATATAGTATTATTTTCTTATTTAATATGACGAATTTTGTGGGGGTATGTATTTGTAGCGGGCGATATCGCTGACGCAACAGTTGGGGTACTACAAGGATTACCAGAGTAAGGTGACAAAAATGGTGGGAAGTGAGAAAGCAAAAGGGATGTTTTCAGGTGGAATTCATATTCTGAGTGCAGGAAACAGTGATTATCTACAGAATTACTACATCAACCCTTACATCTACCGACAGTATACACCTGATCAGTTTGCTGATATTCTCATGACCTCCTTCGCTAACTTTGTCCAGGTCTCTGTCTCACCTTATCTCTTTCATTTTACACTTTAATTACGCACTAAAATTAGACAATGAATTTTGGATCTACTTTTAGGTGCTTTTTTTTTTTTTTTTTTTTTTTTTTTAAATGTATTCGGGGAAGAAACATACATATTCTGTGCCGATAAATCAATAATTCACTTTAAGATGGATTAAGTTATTGAAAAATATAATACTTCATTATAATATGCACTAAATTTGGAATCAAAATAAATTTTGAATAGATATAATAAAAATGCACAAAAATTTACACACTAGATTAATTAGTGATTATAAAAAAAAAAAAAAAAAAAAAAAAAAAAAAAAAAAAAGATGTTTCAAAGCAAATGAACAATTTTGAGGTTAAAAATTCTCCTTTTTCCCTAGAATAAAAGAGGACTCTTTTTCACTCCACTTGGAGCCTAACAAAATCTATACTAACTCAATATTGATATACTTTTACAGACATTGTATGGACTTGGAGTAAGAAGGATAGGAGTAACGAGCTTACCGCCAATGGGGTGCTTGCCAGCAGCCATTACCCTGTTTGGAGGAGGAAGCAACCAATGCGTAGCAAGGCTTAATAAGGATGCTGTTTCATTTAACAGCAAACTGAATGGCATGGCACAAAACTTGCAGTCAAAACACTCGGATTTGAAATTGGTGGTCTTTGACATCTACCAGCCTCTCCTAGACATCATAGCACATCCCATGGAAAATGGTAATCTCTCTTCCACCTACACCTGGTATGCAAACAAAGATACAATAAATAGATTTCCTGTTATATAACCAAAAAATAAATTACAAAAAATAGTCAGGTAGGAAAAACATAGTGATGCATAATCTTGTTATGTTCGCCTTGTTGTATGCTTTTAAAATCAAAATATATAATGTTTACAATACTTAAAGAAATTATTGGTTAAGTTGGTGCATTAGGGAAGCACAACACTCAAACTGTGTCAGCTAAATCCAAGCAAAAGGAGGTACAATAAAATGAGTCCCAATGTTGCAAACCTCATGAGACTGCTTAAACTAAGTTTATCTTCCAATATTCCAGAAAAATAAGCCACATTTGAATTTTGATATTTGTGTTAAAATCCAGAACTATTTAAATAAATAAATTTTTACATCCATATCATATCTACGTAGTCTTCCATTGCCAATCTTAATCAAGGAAAAAAAAAAAAAAAACTTGAAAGTAGTAAGTGGCCTATTTTATGACAAGTTGGCAGCCTAATACATAAATTACACGTATTATACAAGGATGGAAGTTTTAACAAGGTAAGGTGAACGAAATAAAAAGTATTAATCCTAAGTGATAAAGCTTAAGTTAGAATGTCAAGTCCCATGTTTTAGAGCAAACTATTTGGTGCAGGTTTCTTTGAATCAAGAAAAGCTTGCTGTGGAACGGGAACAATAGAAACATCCCTGCTTTGCAATGAAAGATCCGTAGGGACATGCTCCAATGCCACCCAGTATGTTTTCTGGGATGGGTTCCATCCCTCTGAAGCAGCAAACAGTGTATTGGCCGGTGCTCTCCTAGCACAGGGATTTCCCCTGATAGGTTAAATCATCAAGAAACACTTCTAGTTTTCCTTACAAATGCAGAATGGAGCTTGGGCCACTCTGCTTCTCTGGCAGATGTAATATATTTGGAGTGTAACATGAGAGCTAATTAATTTTGCTCCTTGTAAAACATGCGGGGTTTAGTAAGAGTTTAGCAGTACTAGCTGTTTGACAAAACACCATCATATAGGTAAATATGAAGGTTCCGTCATCAAGTCCAGGACAATTCATATTAGCTTCCCACCCTATGATTATCATTAGTTACAATTCAGTGATGCACCTTTTCTCATTTCTAAATTCTCTTTATTTTTTTATTGTTCCTTTTCTCTAATTATGGGAAGGATGACTGGGTAAGTAAGCCAACATCACATCAATCGCTAACGACCATGAGAAAGTATATAGCATTCTAACGAAAGAGTGTCTCCATCAATATTCCAAAAATTACTTAGATAGAATTTCAATCAACAAGTTATGTGACATATCAGCCCATGCTTAGAGTAAAAATAATCAAGAAACCGAACTGGATGGATATCTCTTTTTTTTTTTTTTCCTCACTACAAATGGCAGAAACTAAAAGTTCAATATAAAGAAAAATGAAATCTAATTGATACCTCATGAACTGGTAAGCAGCCGAAACCACTCAAGAAAGTTCAAACCCTGCATTTGAGTTGATTGCATACTGAAGCTTCGCCCTCAATGTACTAGCCCTTTTATAGGTAGGAAGCTATAACAAGTGAAGACAGCAAGAGTAAAAAATAAGAGTAAACAGGACATAATCGGGCAACAAGATAATTTATATGTTCTAAGCAACAAAGTGCAACTTCGTAGCAATATATAGGTGTTTTTGAGTATACCTTTAGAGTGTTGTAGCATGTAGAAGCTGAGGGTAACCGCTCCACATCCTGCCCTCCAAACGCTGCCCAAAGAGGTACATCACATGCAACCTAAGATTGGATAACGTAGCAACAAAACACAATATTTTTGGTCATGTATCCAGTAGAGTTGTTAAACTAGTATCATCATTATGTATTTTAATGCTAAGTTATCCGAACAAATGAGTTTAGCTAGGTAATCCAAAGTTCATGGAATACCTTATGGATGGTAAAAGTTGGCTGCAAATGTTTGAACCCAAGTAATGGAGCTCGTGAGCAACTTGTAACAAACTTAAGAAGCATACACCGTTCTTTTGACTCAAATCCTGCCAAGACCTGTCAGATTTTATCCAGAAAATATGTAAGCTAAGCAAGTCGAATCCAGCTTAAAATTACAATTCATTAGAATCACCTCGTTTGCTCTTTTATAATTGCAAATTTGCAACACAGGGTGCGAGAGGGGGGGGGGGTTGTAACACATTTTTAAGGAATCCATATGATGATGAGAGAAATATAAAGAGAAACCTAAGTGATGAAGAAAGAATCACGCATAGAATTTAATCTCAATTAAATTGAAACTTCTTCACTAAAGAAACGTCATTTTCTAAATACTTGGATATTGAATAGCTCAAAACGTTGGAACAGAATAATCAGTTGCATATCAAAGTGCATTTCAGTTTAGCCGTATTGTAATGAATTTTTTAATTGACCGAACTGAAATCGTCTGGTTTAACAGTGTTTTCCAAAAACCAGCAATCTTGTCAAAAGTTGCATCCCAAATTACCTCGCATTGAATGCTACATCCTGTGTTTCACTCAAAAGTTACTTGCTATAAAGAGACATAGTGAAAATATCCCCATGTCTCCCCAATAATAGCTCTGCCTCTAAGCCTCTGATGGTCTACTCTTAGCTATTTTAACAGCTTACAAATATTTTTAAATCCTAAAAGACTTGGAAGTTAAATTCACATCACGACAACTACCACATGGTTTGCAATCAATGCATCAATTCTGTTACCACAACTATGTGACCGTTTCCCAATCTCAACAAAAACCCTGTTTTCAAACCATGTGAGAGAATATTAAATCATAAGAGTAATCTTTTAACATCTGATCTCTAAAGTATACAACCCTTATTTCTTTCACTCAATGATACTTCAAAATCAAGGTTAAACAAACAATGTTTCAACATTTTCACTGCCCCAGCACTAGATTCATTCTCTATAATTCAGATTTTGTAAAGCAATATCATTACCACACAGCTTGCCAAAGCAATGTCGGACAGCCAGATACTGCAAGATTTCTACAATTTTTGATTTAAAATCATATTACCATTCCATGTAAATGCAGTTGAACAGAATGCTTTACCACCAAGATTTCAAAGTCGAAAGACTTACTTGATCAAAGGTTTTATAGTTTAAATTTGAATAATATTGATTCACACGAACAAAAGAATATAGATACCACTAGCTAAGCAAGTGTATAAGTTACAAAAACTAAATAAAAAGGACTTTCTATATCTAGTGCAATGTATAAAAAAGCTCAAGGCGCAATGAGGCGATAAAGGTCCTGCTGTGCTTTGGTGCGCCTCACTTTATAAAACAGCAAAAGAAATTTGTTTATGTGTGCCTCGCCTTGAGCCAAAAATGCGCTCAAACCTAATCACCTAGCGCCTAGGCACGCCTTTTTAGACACTGATCATGTGTATTAATGCGAGCCATTAAAGATGCAACAAAACCTCACACGAATATAATGGTTCCTGATATAGCTGTCAGCCTTATTGACCCCCTTGCCTACATTAGTCTTTTTGTTGATAAGCACCTCATGGGGATTCTTTTGATTCATAGTTTCAAAATCAAACATGTCTCTTTGGTTCAAGGCTGGCATGTGGATAAGAAGTTAAGAGGAACGAGTACATGCTTGTTCATCTACCCCATTCCTTACTTTAACCAAGGAAAAGAATAACCATCATGGATAGGATGTGTTTGTGCGAATTGCTTTTATCGTTTTTACAATACTGGAACAAATTGAAAAAACCACAACTACAGAAAATATAGACAAGATGAAAGTACCTCCCAAAAGAGTTTGACTGTTCGACTTCCCTCAGAGTATCCACCAGTATACCGTGTATTTTTCCGCAAATCATCAACATCAATATCATGGTTGCCACCTGAAAGCAACTGTGGAGAATAAATTCATTGTTCAAATCGAATATTTGATATCATTATTAGTTATAGCTACCACAAATAATTACAAACGGCACTAATATATGTATGTGAGCCTGTGAGTGGGAGCAGGCGTGCAAGGATGCATGTGCATGTTTAATTTCAGGAATGCTGCTACTTTTCATTCCCTAGTTCTTGTTATTTCAAGTTGCAGGGGTAGTTTTCGACATTTTGCTTCAGACCAGGCAGTTTGTTTTAGTATTTTGAGTCCACTAAGCAAATGCCTCATGATTAATGATAAGCAGCATTGCCAAATTATTATCACAGCAGATATGTTCTCAGTTTGAAAAGGTTATAGCCAAGTCAATCCAGATACAATACTGTCCTCTTCAAAAGTAAAGATAACATCAGGGACACTTTTTGCAAATAGAGAAAGTTATAGCCAAGTCAATCCAGATGTACAGCTGTCCACCTCTACCTCTTTTAATAAGAAGTATATAGATAACATCAGGGCCACTTTAAGAGAGGTGCAATGGTTACAGTTCAAGAGTGTTTGCAAATCACAGAGTGTGTAATGATGATTACATATCTTTGCTATACTTCCAAGAGTACCTCATATATATTTCACATTGAGAAGCACAGGATGAAATATAATACCTGATTAAATTCACTGGCATTAAATAACTTCAACCATGATGGTGAAATGAGATCCGTTAATCCCCTATAGAATGCATTTGATAGTGGCAATATCTGCAATTTCCATCACATATCAGTAAGTTGCATGAAACCATGTTCAACAGCCTTCAGGCCCTTGAATATACAATCAGCTCACTGTAGACATTTCTAAGTACCTGCCGATTAAGTTTATAATCTGCCATAGCATGAATGTATTGCAACTTATTTTCATTTGTCACAATGGTGTCTTTGCCGCCAGGTCTAAGCTCAATGATGTGCATTTTCCCCAATAATTCCTCAGTGACAGTAAAATCAAGTGAAAGTTCCTTAACATCACCTTCATAATTCTGTAAACAAGGGTACAATCAAAAGTCACGCAAACCTAAGACTAAGCCTCGGAGTTAAGACATATTAAGTGGAAAAATCTACCATCTATCCACATGATCAAATAATAAGTGATAATCAACAGCATTATAGTTTGTGTTTTTCTGCGACTATCTTCCAATGCTAAACATGGAACATGTAAGCTGCAATCATTACAATCCTGAACATATATGGTTACAAGGCACGATTTTATAGTCCATTAGTCCCTAAGAAGTAGACGATCTTTCATTAGCCAGGACAGAAAAACAATTACATTACAACTTGCCTTTTAACTTTAAGTCCGCATAAAGTGGAAATTGGATTGTCCCTGGAAGCTGGTCACAGAAGCCCATAGGAAAGCTAGGAAGACCAACTGATGCATCAATTAACCAAAGTCCCAAAACATACGATAAGTATAAAATCTATATAATTGAGCTAGCCAATGGCCAACCTCATTAAGCCCTATGAGGTCTGAAAGCAGCTTAAACATTACAATTTGGTAAACATGGGGTCATAAAATATTTGCACTTCCCTGAAGTGATGGCATTACAGCTCTAGTGCTCTACTTAACTATACGAGCACAATATATACCAGGACATATAAAGAGCTCCCAGCCTTTTACTGTAATAACTTAGGCTGCCTTCCCAAGATCCACAGGATCCACAATGCATTCGCTGTGAAACATAAATCATATATTTGACTTAACATCCTCTACTCTCCTAATAAGACGCTCCCATCACTAGCGTAAAGACAGTAATTAAAGGAAGTATGACAATCTACAAATGGGATAGTATGCAATGAGAAAAAGTAGGAAGAAATTCAAGCAATGACTCTCATGACAACTACTCCATAGACTCTAGTCTATCCATATAATAATTGCCGCAGAATCATCAAAAATGCCCATATTTCCTTCCAACTATACTTGCAAACAGCAATTGACATAGAAACATCATATTATATACTGTCAACATATTTTTTTCCTCACCTTCCAAAAAACCATCCTATAAAGCTCGTCAACTTTCACTGTGGCCTGAGAAATATTAAACTATGTTTTTCTCATCTATACCAGTTTCTATTTTTAACAAAATAGTCATCAAGAGACTCGTAACGTTGTATTTTCCAATTTTGGATTACAATGACTCAATACAAAACCAGCCTATATATATATATATATATATATATATATATATATATATATATATATA